GGCTGCTGCTGCCACCAGACGGGCACAATGTCGCCTTTGTTCCCCGAGGCTCCCTGCGGTGCAGCCCCTCCTGGAGGATCCAGGCAGCAGACGCTGCCAGCCCCGGGCTTTGGGGGATCTCTGAGGCAGGCCTGGGCGGGGTGGGGGTGGGGGGCCCGGGGCCAGGCCCCCCGTGCCGCTCCCGACCCAGGAACAGGGGACGCTCTGTTGGGCCGACCCGCGGGAGAGGGTGGGAGGGATCAACTCCATGATGACACTTCTCCGTTTCAGAAAGTGGGACCCCAAGGCCCCCCGGGCCCCCAAGGGCCACCTGGGAAACCGGGCAAGGACGGCATTGATGTGAGTTTGCGGGTGGGGAGGGCTCCGTGGGGTTCTAGTCTGGCTGCAACCTCCCTGAGCCTCTAGACCTGATGGAGACAAAACTAAGTCCCACTCGTCGGGGCTGGGGCGAAGCGGGGTGTGGGGTGTGAAGAGGGACAAAGACGGTCCTTGTTCCTGTTCAGGGTTCAGCCCGCAGGGATCCCGTCCCCAGAGCAGGTGGGGGGTGCACGGTAGTCTTTGGCCTGGGAATGTGGGCACTGATGTGCGTGTCTCCGGGTCCCCGAGGGGCCCTTGCTCCTGTATCCTGAGGCCCTGGGGGTGGAGGTGCAGGGCTGTCCCCTGAGGGTCTCGGGCTGGAGCCAGCTTTGGGGGGGCTCTGGAGCTGGCTCCGCCCCAGAGATGCTGTCTCCAGGGGTGCCCCAGGTCAAGTGTGGCCCAATCCAAGCAGCTGAAATCCCGCGGCCAGCCTCCCCCAGGACCGTCTTGGGTGAACCCCCCCCCCCCATCCAGCCACCTCCATGTAAAGCAGAGACCTGCCCCAGGACCTCCTCGCCCGCGAGAGCCCCCCTTGACCAGTCCTCAGTCTCTCTCTGAGCCCCCAAGGCCCTAGATGGCCCTGAGTCTCATATCCACACCAACCCTGGTTGATCTCGACCCGCAGGGTGCTCGGCGACAGCCCCGCAGGGTGGGGGCGGGGCGGGTCATGGTGGCCACATTGGGCCCTGGACCCAGGGCCCCCACACCCCTCCCGCTGGGGCTGGGCGCCCGGCCCCCCAGGAGCCCCAGGCCTTCGGGAGTCATGCCGTTCCTTCTGGGGAGGGTTCCACTTAAAAGCCTGGAAGCCTCACGCCAAGGGTCTCGGGCCTAGTGGTCACGGGGGTGGCGTTCCCCCTGGGCCTCTGCAAGTCTGAGGGGCTGTGGCCCACTTCCCGGGGCTTCTCAGGCGGGGGGAGGGGGGGGGGGGGGGCCCCTGGGCCTGGCCCCAGGGAGGAGGGGGCCCCTTAGATGTGGATGAGGCCCCATGTGGCGGGGGGGGGGGGGGTCCCGTGTCGCCTCTCGGGTGTCTGCTCCCCTGGGCCGGGGTCTTCAGGGGACGCTTGGTCACATGTGGGTGTCTTCCCCTCTACAGGGAGAAGTTGGGCCTCCAGGTCTGCCAGGGTCCCCGGTGAGTGTCCAGCTACGGCGAGGGGAGGGGTGGACCTAGAACCGAGGGGTCAGGACGCCCCCTTCCCACCACACTGGGCCCTGGGTTGCCCGCCAGGCAGGAGGCCTCAGAGGCGGGAAGGGGGCGGGAGGGGAGCGTGTGGGATTCAGCGTGTCCCTGGGTGGCGGCTGGCTTTGAGACGGTCTTTGGGCCGGTGCCAGGCAGGCCAGGTTGCTACAGCCGGCGAGGGGGCCCTGGGCTTTCACAGAGCTGTTCAGGCCCAGGAATTGAGGGTTCTAGGGCACACCGGGGGTCCCACAGAGGGATGCACAGGCCCTTAGCCCGGGCGGCTGACGAAGCATCCAGGTGAACTTCCTACAGAGGTGACTAAGCGGGGGGAGGCGCCTGGAGAGGGCGGCCAGCTGGGGCCAGTGAGGGTGGGCGCCGGGCCCAGCTGGGTGGGGGTCTGCAGGAAAGCCGGCAGCTGGGCCTCCGGTGGAGAAGAGCCAATCTCTAATTGCTGGGCGGTGCCGCAGCTGGAAAACACAAGCCTTATTGGTGAAGGCCAAGGCTCTGGGCTGGACCTGCCCTCACGCCTCTGCCCTCCCCCTCCTCCCTCCAGGGACCAAAAGGGGCCCCAGGGAAGCCAGGGAAACCAGGGGAGGCTGGGCTCCCAGGACTGCCCGGTGTGGACGTGAGTGTGCCCGCCCCTTCCTCCCCCTCCCCCCTTCCCCTCCTGAGAGCCCCCTCTCGTGAGCCCCTTCCCTTCTCCTCCCCTGAGCTGGGACCGGAGGGGTCGTATCCCAGGAGTCAAGTTTAATTGCAGTTCTCCCGCTGGGGCTGGGCCTGCGCTGGGCCTGCTCGGTCCCAAGAGTCTCCGGATGTCCCCCAGCGGGGGTCCCTTGGCCTGCATCCCAGACCCCTCAGCCCAGGCAGAGGACGCAGCCAGCTCGCGGCAGGGGTGAAAATGCTCCTAGCTCTGTTTCTCTGGCTACCTGGGCCCCTCTGAGCCCCAGGCTGGCTGCGTTTGTCCTCGGGGCTCAAGGCCTTGGCCCCAGGACCCTGGGGGCCGCGGCAGGGCTCTGAGAAGGGATTTCTCCCACCTGCTGGGCTTATCAGCTCCTCACCTCCCCCAGAGGCTCTGGGAGAGGAAGGGGCCGCACGCAAGGCTCTTCCCGGTGTCCGGACCCATTTTAGTTAGGAGAGTGCCCTCTGGGGGGAGGCGGACCGTCCTCCCAGCGTGACCCCTCGAGCCCCCCCCTCCCCTGCCTCTCTCCCCAGGGTCTGACAGGACAGGACGGACCACCGGGCCCCAAGGGCGCACCTGGAGAACGGGTCAGTGCCTGCCCCAAGTTGAATGGGTTCCACTCGGGAGTGAGGTCCCCACCCCACCCCCAGTGCTGAGCACTGTCCACAAGGCTGGTGGCCCTGAGGGCAGCTGGGACGTTCTACCGCGTGTGCGGTGAGGTGGAGGCCACAGAAGGGCAGGTGGGCTCAGGGGGACGACACACGGGCCCCTGCTCGCAGCCGTCCTAGCGTTCAGACCCGGCGGGGGCGACCGGCCTTACGCGCCAGGGCGCCTGGCTCCGGGCTTTCTGTAGGGAGTGTCTTGTCGGGGGCCCCCCGGGCCGGGCCTGCGTCTCCGGGGTACAGGGGAGCGGCAGAAAGGGCAGGGGCCAAAGCTCTCGTGACCTTTGCGGGGGGGGCTACCTGGAAGGCTTCTTGGAGAGGTGGGCACAGGGCCCTTCTGTGTGGCTCGGGTCAGCCCTAGCGCCGGGCCTTCCTGGGGGCGTGTCCCGCCTGCTCTGGGCTGCTTCCTGCGTTCGTTTCCAACAGTCTGGATGGATTTTCCTCAGCGGGATTATTGGCAAAGACCTGTCCGGGCCGCTGGGCCTCAGAGGTCCCCCCGGGGCCTCGATCTTCTGTAAAACGGAGAGCTCCCACTTCAGAGGGGGGGGGCGGGTGGGACAGGTTGGCTCACAGAGTCCTGGGCGCCTGGGCTCGGCTCACTCCTGACCCTCTTTCCTTCTGCAGGGAAGTCTGGGCCCTCCGGGGCCCCCCGGGCTGGGGGTGAGTGTCATTTCCCCCTTGCGTGGGACTTTGAGGAGCTAGAGGGTCTGACCGGGGTGGGGTGCCCTCGGGAGCCCTGAGAGGCAGCGTCCAGCCCTCTTGCCTGCTGTCCCTCCGGGGCCGAGCCAGCCTAGGCCGGGGTCCTGGGACACCATCTGGGCTGTGTCCTCTCTCCCCCAGGGAGGGCCCCCTGCACCAGGAGTCTGGGGGTCCCCCTCGTACAGCCCGCCTGTCTCAGGGGAGGGGGCATGGGGGGAGGGGGGGTGGGCTGTCCCCAGCGCCTTCTGACCCCGTGCTTGTCACTGCAGGGCAAAGGCCTCCCTGGACCCCCGGTGAGTACCGACCACCCTCACGGCCCCACCCAAGCACGCCCACCACACTCCGGGCCAGGCGGGCTGCCAGGTCCCAAACCGGGGCTGGGGCCAGCCGCCCCCCACCGGACTTCCTGTCCCTCCAGAGGGGGCAGACCAGCCCTGTGTGGGTCTGTGGGTGCAGACCCCTGTTTCTCACATCCTTCCCCCCCCAGGGAGAGGCAGGAGTGAGTGGCATCCCTGGTGGAGCTGGCCTCCGGGGCCCCCCGGTGAGTGGCTGGCCCTGACCCTCCCCCCTGCTCAGAGCAAGGGCCCTGCCCGCCGGGACACCCCCAATTCAACCCCCAGGGCTTCCTCCCACCTCTGCTCCTTCCCTTCCCTTCCCTCCCTCTTCCCCTCACCCCTTCCACCCTCCTTCTCCTCCTCCCCCATTTCCTTTCTCATGGCCCTTGATGGAAACCCCAAGTGACATTCAGGGACAAGGACAGGCTAGGCCTTGAGATGCGCTGTGGGCACATGCACAGGCCAGGCTGGGGGAGGCGGGCAGGTGGCAACGTCCCCGTGAGGGCACAGGGAGGGAGACCGCTGGTCACCCTCACCTAATGTCATAACCCACCCCCCAGGGACCCTCTGGACTACCGGGCCTCCCTGGCCCCCCGGGACCTCCTGGACCCCCTGTAAGTACCGGGCAGGGGACCCCAGGGCTTCGCTGGGGTAGTGCCAGGCAGCGATGACGCGGCTCTCCTGTCCCCGGGGCCCCCAGCCGCACCCACGTGGACTCCCATCCCCTTTTCAGACACGGGCGGAGTCCGGGGCCAAAGTGGCAGCCGGGTCAGCTGACCTGGGGACAGGCAGGGCTCAGGCCCAGTGGCTCAGGACAGGTGGTTTCTGTCCTTGTTAATGCCCAGCACTGGCCACATGAGGGATGAAGGGACTGAGTCCGGAGTGGCGGGTGACAGGGAGGGCGGGGGACGGCAGCATCCAAGTCAGCTGTCTTTGTGTCCCAGGGTCACCCAGGGGTCCTCCCTGAAGGCGCCACTGACCTGCAGGTAGGCCCTTGCAGCCATCTGTGAAGGTTGCCCGTCTTGGGGGGAGGGGGCACGAGCCCAGCCCACCGCCTCGGGGACCCCGTGGCTCGTTCCCTACCCCCCGGGTCCGCGTGGGTGGCACTAGCTCTGGGCGCGGCCTCGCCACGCCAACTCTGCCCACTGGCTATGAGCCGCTCCCTCCCGCGCTCCTGCCCCCGGGTCCCCTCACCCCCACCCGCACCCCCACCCCCACCCCCACCCCCACCCCCTGCTCACAGGAGTGTGAATGTGAATCGAAGTGAAACAGAATCCAGTTGTAGCCTGGCACAGCCGGGCGCTGACCGTTCAGCCACACTCGGCGGGTGTCGGCTACAACGGGTGGCACAGAGGGTTTCCCCAGCAGAGAAGGCTCTGGACTAGCGTCTGGGACTCACTCTTATCTGTGAGCTTTGTCGCTCCCGTGAAAACGAAGACCGCGTCTGGGGCGGCCCCAGGCCCTTCTCCGCTGTGTGTGCGGAGGGGTCAGCGTCCGGTGCTCCTGAAGGATGTGACCTGCCTGCTGCTGGCGCCCTTGGCTCCACCCCTGTGTCCGGAGTGTTTGACCAGGGCATGTCCCAGAGGGAGGGTTTAGAGACCTTCCAGAACCTTCCAGAATCGGGAGAATGGCTGGGCCCCTGGCGATGGGCCAGGCAGGGGCAGAGATGAGCTGCAGAATGATCTAGGAAACCCAGCGCCATCCCTTGGGGTTACGGTGCCCTGGGCGCGGAGTGCCCCATCCGTGTCTGCAGGACACCTGTCCGTTCCTAGAGCACGTTTGTGCACTGACAGGAGCCCCGGCCCGAGGTTTGCTGCGGGAACACGGGATGAGGGCCCCTTTGTGAAGCCGCTGCGCTGAGTATGGAGAAAGGGGAGCTTGGCTCCCAGCGCGAGCCCACGAGGGGTCAGGCAGCCGCCATCCTGCTCCGGGCAGTGCCTTTCTGCACCCCCCACCCCACCCCGGGCGGCCACACTGAGCGAGGGCCCGTCTGGGCTCCCCGGGAGGCCCTGGTGTGGCCTGAGGTCCCTTCACTCGTCTGGAATGGCCCGTCTCAGGGCCCCTGGGTGTTGACCTGAGAGGCAGGTCCCGCTCTGACCACTCTGCTTTCCAACAGTGCCCGGCCATCTGCCCCCCAGGCCCTCCCGGGCCCCCAGGAATGCCAGGGTTCAAGGTGAGCGGCGGCCACAGGGTGACTCAGACCCGAGCCTCAAGATCCGGAGGGGACTCGGGGGGAGGTGGGCTTCCACAAAGCCCGCCCTGGTTGCTCCAGGAAGAAGGGAGAGCTGGCCTCCGACCCAGCCTGGGGGCCTTGCTCTATCCCCACCCCCCTGTTCAGCACTGTTAACGGGCTGGGCACCGGTGTGGCCACTGGGACCGGGCGGCATGGCGACAGCTGCAGCCAGGGAAGCTGGCGTCAGGCCACCAACTCCCTTCCCTGGCCCGGCCTTGTCCCCTCTTGACCGGACCTCAGTTTCCCCACCTGATCTGGCGGCCACGCAGGCCTCTGTTCAGGGCTGCTGGGGGTGGGCTGTGACTCCTCGCCCCCCCTGGCTTTCAGGGGCCCACCGGCTACAAAGGGGAGCAAGGAGAGGTCGGCAAGGATGGCGAGAAGGTGAATGTGGGCCGCGGCAGGGCCGTCGGCCTGGGCGGGGGTGGGAGGGAGGGAGGGGCGCCTGGTGGGGTGGGGGCCAGGGCCCCGCTGGCGGTGGGTCAGGGAGGGGGTGCCGGCCGCCTCTGGGGCATGCTATGCACGCCTCCTCTGTGGGGCCTGGCCAGTCGGAGCCAAGCGATTTGGGGCAGGGTCCCTGGACGAACCCCCCCACCTGCCTGGTCTCACGTGGAAGTTCCCTGAGCTCAGGCGGGCCCCGCTGGTGGCTGGAGAGGTCTCCTGGAGGCCCCTGCCACCCCCCCATGGCCCCTGGCCGCGGAAGATTTTGGTTTGCCCCTACCCACAGGCACCAGGTGAGGCTGGGTACATGTCCGGCACGGTGAGGCCGCCGCTCGGGCAGTAGACGTGCCCACGCCAGCCAGGCAGAGGCGTCTGGGAAAGGCTGGGGGCCTTGCAGGAGCAGAAGCCACAGGGACCTTGCCCTCCAGAGGAAGGCCAGAACCCCCCTAACCTCAGAGGCTCAGCTGTGAATGGGGCCACGGCCCCCGCTGCACGGGCTCATCTGGGGGGACCAGTGGGCTTGGACAGGTGCTGGGAGGGCTCAGGCCTGACCCAGCTCACGGCACCTCATCTCCATTGCAGGGTGATCCTGGCCCCCCCGGGCCCGCTGGCATCCCAGGCACTGTAGGGCTGCAGGTGAGCAGGGGAAGGGGCCAGACGTGGGTGGGGATGTGGGGCCAGAGCCCCTCGACTGCTTAGGGCTGCAGGGGACGGTCCACCGACACCCGAAAGAGGGACCGGGCCAGGGTCCTGCCTCTGCCAGGCTGCAGATCCTAGGAATTGTGGCCCTGCCGCCTCCAGGACCTGGCCCGAGGTCAGGTGCTTCTAGGGAAGACCCTAGGGCCCTCCGTGGCTCCCGGGGGGCGTGCGGTCCTGGGGGTGCTGCTGGCCCAGGCCCTGCCTTTCCAGCTTTCCTCTTACAGGGGCCTCGGGGCCTTCGAGGTCTGCCGGGGCCGGCCGGGCCCCCCGGGGATCGGGTAAGTCAGCCCCGCCTCAGGTGGAGAGGGGCCCTAGGCCAGCGGAGTGGAGGCCTTGGAAAAGGGGGGTGGGGGATGGTTTGGGACCCCTGGGCGGCTGACCGGGGAGGGGCCCGCTGGGGGTGTCTGTTGGGGGTGCTGGAGGCAGGGTCTCTCTGGCTGGAGCCACGTCCTCCAAGGGATGCTGGCCAGGCTCCAGATGAGAGGCCCCAGATGGCCCCCCGCCTCCTTTACAGGGTCCCATCGGATTCCGAGGGCCGCTGGGGATCCCAGGAGCCCCTGGGAAAGTGGTATGTGTGTGTCTGGGGGTGGAGGGTGGCCCCCCGCAGGCCTGGGCTCTCTGTACCCTTCCTCTTCCTCTTCCTCTTCCTCTTCCTCACTCAGACGCCTCCCTCAGTCCCCTGGTCTGTGCCGGGCTGGCCCTTCCGGGAGCGGAGTCCTCTTATGGGCACGCACCCCTGGGCACACCTGGGCAGGTGCCAGTGGGCACACCTGGGGGCAGGAGTGGGTACACCTGGGGGGGGGTTGAGTTTACGGCGGGGGCCTGTTCTCGCTGGGACTTTGGTATTCTTCCCTCTGGACGTGTGTGAGGTGTGGTCAACGTCCCTCTGGCCCCTGTGACCCTCCATCCAGCCCTCCCACCTTCTGCAGTTAACTTTTTGTTTCCATACCTCCCCCCCCCGCCCCGTCATTTTAGGGTGACAGAGGCGAGAGGGGCCCAGACGGATTCCGTGGTCCCAAGGGTGACCTTGTAAGTAAAGTGACCTTGATTCTCTGGGTCCTTCCTCCAGACACGCCGACCTCTGGGGAGGGAGGGTGGGGTGGCCGCTGGCCAGCAGCTGGGTCACTGGCAGTTCTGGTGGCTCTGACGAGCTCGTGCCGGGAGCAGCGGGGCGGAGGCTGTAGGACCAGACTCCTGGGGGCGCATTCCGGCCGCTACGCTCATCCCGCCAGAGGCCCTGGGCCCTGCGCCAACGTTGCCCAACTGCGAAATGGAATAACAGAGAAAATGACTCTCAGGTTGAGCGAGTGACCGTGAGTAAAGCTGAGAGACGATCGAGCAATGAGGGGACAGCCCCAAGCTGGCGTCTGCCTGTGGACGCCTTCAACCTCGTCGTCCCCAGGCTGAGTCCCGTGGCCAGAGGCCCAGGAGGCGGCCGCGTGATGCTGAGACAGGTCCCGAGTCCACAAGCCCTTCCCCCCGTGGTTGGGCATCCCCCAGCCCTGAGCACAGCCCCTGGTGCCCGGGAGTCATGGGCACGGGGCGCATGCAGGGCTCCTGGCCTGAGCCTGCCTGGGGACCGGGGACACAGTCTGGGGGGGGAGCATTCCTCTTCCTCAGGGTCCCAAATGCAGTGGCTTATGTGTCTTTTAGGGCAGACCTGGTCCCAAAGGAGCCCCTGGAGTGGCCGGGCCGGGCGGAGAGCCGGTGAGTGCCCGCGGCTGCCGCGGTGTCGGACAACGGCCGGTGTCCCTGGTGTCCCTGCACAGAGCAGGCCCCTGCTGGCCCTGCTGGCCTCCCATCTTCTGCAAGTGTCTCCCCCCGGGAGAACCCTTCTCCTTCAGCCGCCCGGGGCTGTTTGCGGCCGGCGTGTGGCCCTCACTTGGCCGAACGCTGCTGTCGCCGTCCGGAGCCTCCTAGCAGTGGCTGAGCAGGGCACGGGGCCACGTGTTCCGGACGGCCCCGACCGGGCGGAGGAGGCAGAGCGTCTGCCGCAGGGGACAGAAGGGTGGGCTGGGTAGACCGGTGGACACAGGTGTGGGGCATTCTGAGGGTCCTGGGGCACCCGCACTGCCCGGTCCCCTGCTCAGCCCCTCCCAGCCCCAACCCACGGGGACGAGGACGGGCCCCTGGGGGCCTCCTCTGAAAGCTTGCCCTCCTGCTGGTTTCCCAACACTGGGCTGTGCTCTCTGTTCCCACATCGGTCCAGAGTGTGGGATCGGGAAGGCCCACATCCCAGCCCCCAAGCCTCTGTCTTCTCATCTGCAAAACGGGGCCGCAACGGAACTTGGCTGTGGGCGTGGTGAAAACCCCCGGGCAGACGCGGAGGGCGGCGTTCTCCGCACGCCCCCTGCGGGGACTGACATACCGGCCTGGGGAGGGAGGGTGGGGTGACGGGAGACGCGCCGCGCCCCAGGCCTCACACCACCCCCCATCCCCAGGGTATGCCGGGCAAGGACGGGCGGGACGGCGTGCCCGGACTCGATGGCGAGAAGGTTGGTATCTGGCCTGCAGGGGAGAAGGGGTCTGCGGGGGTTGGGCCTCCCGGGCCTCAGCACCCTGTCCCCCGACCTCCCGCAGGGAGAGGCCGGTCGCAACGGTGCCCCAGGAGAGAAGGGTCCCAACGGGCTGCCGGTGAGCGTGTGGGCTTCCCTCGGTGGTGCCGGGGCTACGCCGGTGGGGCCTCGGGGACGGGGGTCTTCTCCTGTGCGTCCCCGAGCGGGAGTTTGTGCAGGGGGAGCCCCGCTTTGGGGGTGCTCTGCCACGGGCTCACAGCCCGGACCTCTGATGTGCGCAGGGCCTCCCCGGACGAGCAGGGTCCAAGGGCGAGAAGGGAGAACTGGTAGGTGGCTTCTCCGTCTTGCTGGGGGTGGGGGTGGGGGTGGTGCCCGGGCCCCGGAGGGAGGGACGAGCGCACACTCGGGGCTCTCTCGTGCAGGGCCGAGCCGGGGAGCTGGGTGAGGCTGGACCCTCGGGAGAGCCTGGCATCCCGGTAAGTGTCCCCCCTCCCCCCTCCCCCCTCCCTGCCCTAAGTCCACGGACCCTGCTGACCCCTGTCCCCCTCCCCCCCAACCTCGTGCAGGGAGACGTTGGCGTGCCTGGGGAGCGTGGTGAGGCTGGCCACAGGGGCTCGGCGGTGAGTGAGGCGGGTGTAGCCTGGCAAGGGGGGGGGGGGGAAGGGCAGGCAGGCACCGCCATGTCGCTGTGCGGGCTGGGGAGGCATCCGGGACACGTCAGTGAGCTGAGCCCACGAAAGCCAAAAGACACCGAGGGCCAGGCCCATCCGTCCCATCCTTGCCGAGGGAGGAAGTCACAGCGCCCGCCGCAGGCTCCGTGAGGTGCAGTGGGCGCTTCCCACCCCTCACGTCCGAGTAGGTGGATAGATGGATCGTGGGGACACTGGCCACAGGGCCCTGGGCAGCCCTGGGTGCGGGTGCCTGGCTCCCAAGGCTGACGGGCGCGTGGGGTCTGAGGGCACGCCTCACCCCCACATCCCCGGCCGCCCCCCATCTCTGTCCCCGGCGAGTGGGCCAGCTCCCGTGTCTGCCCGGCGTCCCTGGGGGCAGGCGAGCTGGACCCACACCTTCCTTTTGTCTTTCAGGGGGCTCTGGGCCCGCAAGGCCCTCCTGGAGCCCCTGGCGTCCGAGGCTTCCAGGTGGGTGAGATCTGGGGCGGGGTTTACGCCCAGGGGGGCCAGCTGAGCAGGGGGAGGGGTCCCCGCTGGGCTCCTTTGTGGGTGCTGACGAGCTGGGTCCTTGTCTGCGCTGACGAGCTGGGTCCTTGTCTGCAGGGCCGGAAGGGCGACACAGGAGACCCCGGGCTGCCGGGCCCCCAGGGCCTCCGAGGTGTCACGGGCGACCGGGTAAGTGGCTGTCCCGGCAGGGGGTGCCCTACCCCGCCCCACCCTTGCTCACAGTCCCCGGGACCCACAGGGGAGGACCACATGCTGCCGGTGGCTGGCAGGCCGGTGCTCCTGGCTCCGTGGGGGCCCGTCGGGTTTCAGCTGAGGGTCGGACAAAGGGTTACGTTGCTTTAAGACAAGTGTGAAAACCCCAACTGTTGTTAACCATGACTGCTTCTGACTTTCCTAGCGGTCTTGTGACGGTGGGTTCAGTGTGGGTCCCCGTGGTCCCGGGACGGTCGGGCCAGAGCGCCCAGGCGCCCGGCGGGGCAGGACCAGGCCCCACTTGGACGCGTGCCCCAGGCCCTGCCAAGGCCGCGCTTGCCTCTGCCATCACCCCTGCAGACGGGAAGGCCCAGGAGCTGCCGGCCAGACCTCGCTTCATTCCGGGGAGGCGGGCAGGGCAGGGCAGGGCAGGGGCCATGGTAACCCCCGGGGGCCGAAACGGGGCCCCCCTTTCCCCCCCCGGGGGGGGGGAACCCCCGGGGGGCCGGGGGGGGGGGGGGGGGGGGCGGGGGCTGTGCTCACACGGGGTCCTCGCCTTCCCCACACCTTGCCCACCCGGCCTCCTCCATCCCCTCCCAGGGCAGCTCTGGCTCCTGCTGCCGTTTGAGCAGACGGACAATTGTTACTTTAATGTTCTCTGTTCTCGGGGCGACCCCAGCCTGCACCTCCCCAGACACGTCCGGTCCCACTCGGGACGCCACCCAAGGGTTACAGGTGCCAGCTGCCCGCACGGTCACTGGTGGTACAAGCAACACCCAACCCAAAGAGGCCCGTTAAACACCCATGGCACCCCGCGTGCTGCGATGCTCTGGCGTCCCTAAGACACTTGGGGGACGCGCCCGGGGCCCCTGTGCTCCGCCCCCCCGGGGGCCCTGGGCTTCCTCTAAGGCCGAGCCTTCTCTCTGCCAGGGCCCCGGAGGAGCCGCAGGCCCGAAGGGAGACCAGGTGAGTGGGTACCCGCTGGTCCCGTCCATGCAGGCTGGAGCTCCTCTCTCCCTCCCGCTGTCTTCATGACTGGCTTCTCTTTGCTCCCTCTAAGTGGAGGTGACCGCTCTGGACACCCAGCCCAACTCCCCGGCTCGGCTCCTGGGGCCCCCGGGGGAGGGGGTGTTCCTGCGGACCTTGTGGGAATGTGAGCTCGTCAAGGGCGGCATCTGGGCTCCAGGCCTGTTTGTAGGTCAAAAATCTGTCCTCTCTGGAAAGGCTAGGGTGCTGGGCCTGTGACCTCCAGGTGGCCCCAGGTCCTCTTTATATTGGTTGAGGATTCTGCTTGGCAAGAAAGCCTCGTGTCAGGTCAATAAGGGACGTCAGCCTGCGTCCCCCTCGTCCGGGGTCTCGCGAACCAGCTCCCGAGGCTTGAGAACGTGGTTTAACGTTGGGGCGTGTCGTTCCCAGGGCATTGCAGGTTCTGACGGCCTTCCTGGGGACAAAGGAGAGCTGGTGAGTGTGACCGAGTCGGCCTCACTTGTGTTAACAGCTGAGTGTGAACTAGCCACGTCCGGGGGAGGCCAGTCTCTGCTGGTCCTGGGAGTGGGGGAAGCCGCGTGGAGGCCAGGGGCTGGGCCCATGTGTCCCTGTGGGTCCCGTGGGCTCCTGTCCACGTGATACTGCCTGCAGTCACGTCACCGGTGACTTTCGGCGGGAACTGGGGCACGGTTCAGATAAAACTCAAGAAAACTCTGCCCCCACAGAGCTAAAAATCAAGTTATGTTTAGAGTAAAACCCTTGACTGAGCTCATGGACAGGTGGACCTTTTCCTGGAGGCTGGGGCACGACGGTCGTGGGGTTTTGGGGCAAGGGTCTTTGCCACGTGGCCAGGGTTTCGGTTCAGTGACTAAGGCTGTCGAGGTGTCTGGGGGAGATGGCGACGACCCGGCCCCGGGGACCCTCGTCTCTGGCACAGCCCACAGCCCTGTGACTATAGCCAGGACGCGGTCAGGGCTGCGTGTGTGTGTGCGCGCGCGCGCACTCGAGGTTTATTTTGGGGAATTCCCGGATGACCTTGACCCAGCAGGACCCTGGGAACCCGTCCCTGATAATCTGACGGGGGTGGCAGTTCCTGCCGGCCGCGGAGCCCAGAGGCGTCTGCTCTCGCCGATGGCGGCATGGCAGAATGGGTCCTGGGCCATCTGCTGTCTGGTTGGGACCACGTGCCTGTTCACAGGCAGCCAGGAAGCTTCCTGAGGAGGACGCAGCTGGGGAAAGGGAACCTTAGGGACAGACTGTCAGCTTAGCGTCATTTATTATAATGATAATGACGGCCAGGAGCAAAGTCAACACGTGTGAGAAAAAGTACGAAGCAGCTACTGAAAACACCCTTTAGGAAAACTAAGTCACAAAAACATCAGTGGTCATGACACAACCCCAGCGAGATAAAAACGTACTTACGAGAGATCCTGAAGCGGTCAAGTTGTAGTTTCCCGGCTGTTCGAGGCCATCCCTGACCAGTAACGTGCTGGCCTGGTTCTCTGGAAGCAAATGCCCGCCTGCCTAGCAGCACACGCGACGGCTCCTCTCTCGCAGGGTCCCGGTGGTCCCGTCGGTCCCAAAGGAGAGGTAAGTGGCTGGCAGCCGTCCCGACAGTAAAGCCCAAAGGAGACACGGGCCTGCAGGTGGCGAAGCTGGCTCTGCCCGGAAGCGGGCAAGAGGGAGGAGCGTGTGTGGCGGGGCTGCTGGGCACTGGTCCCGTTCTCCCCTAGTCCGGCAGTCGAGGGGAGCTGGGCCCAAAGGGCATCCTGGGTCCCAACGGCACCAGCGGCGTGGATGGCGTCCCAGGCCCGCCCGGCCCCGTGGGTTTCCAGGGCGTCCAAGGCGTGCCTGGCATCACTGGGAAGCCCGGAGTCCCGGTACGTGCTTCTTTCCCTGTGTTGAGGTCGGCGTCCGGGGGCGGGCATCACCTTCCCGAGAGTGATGGCGGGGTGCCTCTGGAGGTGTCGGCCTGCCCCCGTCCGCTGACCAGCTTACGGGGTGCGTTTCAGGGGCGAGAGGCCAGCGAGCAGCACATCCGGGAGCTGTGTGGGGCGATGCTCAGCGGTGAGTCCCCTCCCACCCCCTTCCCTGCCCAGCTGCCTGGGGTCCTTGGGGGGTCCGCTCTGCCCATCTGCACCAGGTGGGGGCTCCCTCCCCCGGGATTTCATACCGGGCCAGGCGCTCTAAACGTCTGCTCAAAGAATCAGTCATGAGGGACGGGGACTGTGCGCTTTCAGCCCTTCCGAACTAAGTGGCATCTTTTGGCCACTTTGATTCACAGGGCTCTTAAGGAGCTCGCGCAAAGGGAGCGCCTCCTTCTGGGCCTTGACTCACTGCTCTGTACTCTGGCAGCACTAGAGTTTCGTGCCCTCACACCAAGTTCGGGCCACTTTCAATCTGTGAAACTTCCTTCTGGAAGGCGGGCAGCCCTGACGTTTTAGCCGCGGCGTAGAACACTTCCGCTAATCCGCTCTGAATAAACGCGTGCCCCTTTGTTTTTCGAAAGAACAAATTGCACAGTTAGCAGCTCACCTGAGGAAGCCTTTAGCGCCGGGATCCGCGGGCCGGCCTGGTCCAGCCGGACCCCCAGGTCCCCCGGGGCCCCCCGGCTCCATCGGCCACCCCGGTGCGCGAGGGCCCCCTGGATATCGTGGTCCCACCGGAGAGCTGGGAGACCCTGGGCCCAGAGGTGAGTGGCCCCCGCATTCCGTCTCCCACGAGCACTGCAACGTTTTTTTAATGTGATGTTTTTCTCAAATACCGTGAGAACATCTGGGGGAAAGGACAGACAAACGTGAGAAGCACACAGAAGCCCCTTTATACACCATAGGATGTGCCTTCGTAAAGACCGACATGTGAACGTTTCTGTGGCAAAAGGCAAAAACTGTACGGAACTCCCTTTTAAAGGTCGACGATGCACTAGATGTAATTTAGGAACCAGCTCAAGTCACAGACACGCCCCCCATGGGCCCCGGGGCCGGCCTGTGCTGGCGGCGGGGTGCTCGGTGCCCATGATCGGAGCCTCACGTGTGTGTGAGTGGGCGGGCACTAACCTTTTCCAAAACGGCCTCGAACACTCACCCCATTTCCAAACTCTAAGCTGCGCCACCACGGCCGGCTGGCCCCGCCAGCGAGCCTCACGGCCCAAACGAGGGAGATCACGCTCATGATTCCAGTCCATTCCAACTTACTGATCCAATAATTTTGTTTCTGAAAAGTAGCCTAAGAAAAATACTTCCAAGGGAAACTTAAATCTGTAAATCCCTTCCTTTGTGAAGCGTAAAGTATTCCAAAATTAGCGGTGCCATTTCCCACATCCTCACGCCGAACCACCTGAGCCCCGGAGACGGACGCGCATACCTCCTCCCCCTTCCCAGACGCCGTGCCGTCCATCCGCACCGATGGAACCCCCGAGGTTCCCTGCGGGCGGCCCGGAGTCGTGCCCCGCCCCGTGCCAGTGCCCGTGGTCCCCAAACCGAGATGCATTGAAGCGTCAACCACCTTGACTGGTTGTGATGCTTGGGCTGTTTTCCTGAGCGTGTCACTTTGGGAAAAAGCCTGCAAAGTGGGCGTCAGAGGTGGGTCACGCACCTGGGGCTCACATCCGCTGCTTTCCCACAGGGACCCAGGGAGACCGAGGAGACAAAGGCTCGGCGGGCGCGGGTCTGGACGGGCCTGACGGAGACCAGGGGCTCCAAGGTACGTGTGCCGGCTTTGCTTCCAACTCTGCGGGGGCGTGCTTGGGCGACGAACGGCCTTCTAAAGGAACGAGTTCTCTCTTGGCAAACACTCTTAGAAGGTCAGGAACTGTCTGAATCACTTTGTAGAACACTTTACTCAAGAACCCATTCAGGAGACTCTATTTAGTGCAGGCCACCCACCATCTATTTCAGCTAAATTCTAACAGAATCCCTTCACTGGCCCGTATGTATCCTGGACGTTTGAATTAACATCAACATACATGCTTTGTGGAGAGACAGGGAGGCTTTCCGGGCCTGGTCTCACCTGCACCCACGCCCTAGGGGCCCGGGGCCCGAGACCTGCCGGCCCCAAAACCTGGGGCTGCCCGCGAGGCAGCGGCCACTCTGCCTCCACCTGCTCGGGGGCCCGGTCACCTCCGTCCCTGCTCACCAGAGAACTCCGCACAAACCCCCCCCCCCCCGCCCCCGGCTCACCACAGACCGAGCTCAGCTCCAGTCCGAGCCGCCACCCCTGGGACAGATCCCGGACCTCTAAGCACCTCTCACTGCACCTCACCTCCTCCCCGCACCCCCTCCCCTCCCCTGGGCCCTTCCTGAGTGGGGAATAAGCTCTAAGACCAAAGTGGGGGGGGGGGGCAGGTGGAATGGCTGTCCATTCCCGCCGTCCACACTCACCTTCCTGCTCCGACTCGTCTCCAGGACCGCAGGGTGTGCCCGGCGTGAGCAAGGACGGCCGAGACGGGGCCCAAGGAGAGCCCGGGCCTCCGGGAGATCCCGGCCTCCCTGGTGCTGTTGGTGCTCAGGGGACCCCCGGCATCTGTGACACCTCTGCCTGCCAAGGAGCCGTGATGGCAGGGGGCGGGGAAAAATCCGGTTCTAGAAGCTCCTAAAACGCAACTGAAGGAAGTGAGGGAGATGATGAGGCTGCTGCAAGCAGGGAGCTCCGGAAGGTCCCAGAAGAGACCTCGGGCCGCGCTGTGACGTCCCCCGAGGCCCTCCCGGCCTGGGCCTCGTGTCCTCAACAGCAGCGACTGGACACTGGGTCCCTGAGAGCGTCCTCCAATGCCCTGTCCTCGTGTTCTGTCTCCCATGTATTTACAGCTGAAACGTCGTACCTCAGCCCAGGCCCTACGTGACGTGGCATCTGGGGGTACAGGCCGCACACGCAGTTCTGTACGATTCCACAGATAGAAAATATTCAGCTTGTTTACACAGCATTTGCGGAAGGACGAAGACACGGTCCCGGTGAGACGATCTATGAAATCTAACGACCACAGTGTAACAAATAAAGAAGTTCACGTACGGCATCCCCACCACACATGGTCTAGTCTGATTTTCCCGCTTTTCTTGTGTACAAACTTTTACCGTCTCCAATTAACAGTATTTATTGAAGGTGACTTTGTACTGCACGCAAGTCTACTGCTATTACCTGTTGTGATAAATAAAGCCACTCATTCGAAAAACTCAGTTCCAAACACTAGAGTTTATTACACAGAAAGTAGGGACTCTCAATATGGAAATCAGGGTGTGAAGTAACCCACTGTGACGATATTTCATTTACGGACAAAAATGGCTTCAAAGGGAGTCTGGAAAATGTCCAGCGGGAAGGCTGGAAATGGACCACATCTCACAACATGGTCCCGTGTGAATGGAGTCGGTACAAGGGGAGGGAGAACCAAAAGAGTGAAATTTCCAAACTACTTCTAATTAAGAAAAATTTAACTTGTTCCAGTTGCTAAGCAGGCACATTTAAAATGCAGATAAAGTAAGTAAAAAGCAATATACCTTTTAAGACTAAGGAAATTACAAAAGATGGTAATTTTCAAAGTTATCATGTTAAGAAACATGATGGAATCAGGCAGGTAATTGAGAAGTTTCTTGTCAATTGGCAACGTCTTCATCCCCAAATGGTCTAAGAGGACACGAATGACTAGTAAGTATTTTGTTCTAGACAAACATCTTTACACAACGTGCTTTAACGTCCCCACTGGAGGCCCATCAACTTGACCTGCGTCCCCCTAGAGTCAAACCGCCGGGGCTCCTGGGTTGCACAGACGCTTGGGGGCCCCGGGCGGCAGCCGCCACTGCCGGGAACTCGCGGTCGGTGCCGGTCACTTGACGTCCATGGCTGGGCTGCTCTGTAGGCTCTCCTGTGCGGGACGCGTCACCAAGGAGTCCGGTCTGGTCAACCTGAGCCTTCTGCCAGTCTTACCGCAAAACACACTCTCAAATTCCTGAAGTTGAGAAATGACCGTTAGTGCACTGAATTTACAGACACGGAAACTATCTCCACAGCACAAAAGGTTGTGTGCTGGGGGGAGCATTTGGCCGGCTCAGTCGGTGCAATGTGCACGGCTCTTGATCTCAGGGTCGTGAGTTTGAGCCCCGTGATGGGGCGGAGAGAGTACTTACAATGAAAAAAACCTTTAAAAAATTAAACAAAGAAGGTTGAAATTATGAGCTAAATTACTTCAAGGTATGTAGGCGTCATCTACAAATTCATGTCGCATCTCGTAAGGGGGTGTACAGGATAAAAGGGATTCAAACATTTTTCTCCGTTACATTTACATGTATTTTTAACTTTCTAATAGAGTCCCATAATGCCTGAATATATTATAAAGCCTTCTTTATTTAAAAGCAGCAGCCACACTTACAGATTTTCTATCGTAGCATAATATAACACTTTACCCCTTTACGTGTCGGTGTTCAATCAGCCGCATTAAGGACATCAGTGTTTCAGAGCCATCACTACCATCCGTCTCCAGAACTTTCCACCACCCCACACAGACACCGTACCCATGACCTACCCCACACACACCAGCAAGTGTTCCGGGGCAGGCCTGGGGTCAGGGGTTACCTCCGCACCCGTAAGACTAAAATCTGGCTCCCGTGGTACCGTCGGCACGGCCCTTGCTCACGCTGTCCTGCCTCCAGGAACTTTTTGAGGCCTCAGCTTTCGTGGCTGGGGCAGGCTGGCTGTCCCGAGCACAGGGTCAGCCCCAAGCTCACAAAAGAAGGCAAGTGCAGACAGCCAGATCTTTGTCAGCCTCTGGGAAACGGGATCGTGGGTCTGCACAACGCGGAAGGCAGACGTCCTATGGACAAAGTGTTCCGTCTCTTCGGGAAATAAAGAACAAGGAGCAAATGTCCATCGAGGGATGAATGGCCCAAGATGCGGTATACATGCAGTGGAGCATCACACGGCAATCACAGAGAAGGAAATCTTGCCATTCGCAACTACGTGGGTGGAACCGGAGGGTATCATGCTAAGCAAAACTGGTTGGAGAAAGACAAAAATCATACGACGTCACTCACAGGAGGACTTTAAGAGACAAAACAGACGAACATAAGGGAAGGGCAACAAAAATAATATAGAAACAGGGAGGGGGACAAAACAGAAGAGACTCACAAATACGGAGAACAAACTGAGGGTTCCTGGAGGGGGTGTGGGAGGCGGGATGGGCTAAATGGGGGAGGGGCACTAAGGAACCTACTCCTGAAATCCTCGTTGCACTACACGCTAACTAACTTGAATGTAAATTAACAAATTAAATTAAAATGTTAGGTCTGCAACTGCTTCAAAATAAAAGAGTCCCACAAGGGAGGCAGGACAGGAGCACAGACAGGCGATCTTGGCCCCGAAGCAGAGTTACAGGAACACAGGAGCTCGGTATATTCTGTTCTCTCCACGTTTGGGCACGGACACATTTCCACGAGTTTTTTAAGCACAGCAGTCTTATGCCGCTGAGTCTAGGCTTAAAGGTTCTGTTACAGTAAAAAATACATAACGTGACATTTTGTTTTAACCGCTGTATGTGGTTTTATCCGGCGCACGAACTGCCTTCACAGTGTCGCGTGATCACCGCCACTTTTCATCTTTCCACACGGACACTCTGTCCCCCGTCAAACATGACTCTCGCCCTCCCGCAGCCCCTGCCCACCATCCCACTTTCTGTCCCTACGAATGGAACAGCTCCAGGGGCCACACGGAAGTGGACCCACGGGGCGTCTGTCCTCCTGTGACTGGTTCACGTCACTCAGAGCGGCGACGAGGCGTGCCCGTGCCGCAGCTAGGTGTCGCGCCCTCTCTGCCTACGGCTGAGTAAGCGCCCTCCGGACGCACGCTGCCAGGCACGGGGGCCGCCTCCAACATTCTGGCCTCTGAGACCAGAGCTGCTGTGAACACTGACATACAGGCGTCCATCCGGGTCCCTGCTTTTAAGTCTCTCGGGTGCATAACCCCCAAGAGGGATTGCCGGATCGCCCGGTAATTCTAGGGCTAACTTCTTGAGACACCGTCAGACAACTTTCTACAGCAGCCGCACCATCTGACATTCCCACCAGCAGCCCCCAGTTCCAATTCTGCACCTCCTGAGCACCTAGTTTGTCTGTAACAGCCACACGTCACGGTGAGAAGTGGTACTTGCACGTGGTTTTGATCTGCATTTCCCTGATGGTCAGAGATGGCGAGCATCTTCTCATGTACTTGCTGGCCATGTGTTCACCTTCTTTGGAAAAAGGTGCTCGAATCCTTTGTTTTTGTATTGTGTTGCTTTTGTTGCTGGGCTGTAGTGGGTTTATATTTAGTTCACGTCCTGAAAGGGAAGAAGTACTCTGCTGAACGAGTTTAACTTCGGAACCATCTGGAATGGCTGGGGCACGCCACCTGTCCACCTTCAAAGTGGCATCTGACCAAGGCCACCTGTCATTTCTAACGACTATCCCACTCAGCCGCTACATCTGCACACATCTCTAATTTTCTTCCCGAGCTTTCAAAGGTTTTAGGGTCTCAACACAATTTAAGATGAACCATATTTTGACAGTTTCCTATATCCTGACACCCAAAGCCCAAATAGAAAATATCTGCCTGTACGGAGAAGGCAGAATTTCCCTTTGGGAATAATTAAAGCCACAAAGAAGGAAACAATCATTTCCGATGTAAGAAAGCACTCCAGAGATTTCCTGACCAGTGTCCACGCTGCGAGACTAGTGCTGGGCCTCCGCCTTTGTGCCGGGCATCTGTGCGGGCAGCGGGTAAGCTGGTGTGGCCTGGATGCCCACCCACGGGGTCCCAGCTCTCAATCACGAGGCACTGGGGTGGCTGCGATCGCCAGGCCTCCTTGTAGGCCAGAAGTTAGCGGGCGACTGCCACTCTCCCCTCTCAGTCGGCATCTACTTCAACAAAACCTAAGTGAAACGGCAGAGTTTCAAGGGAGTCTTACAGCTCATCAAGACACCTTGATGACGCCTGGCCAGAGTGTGCAAATACAAGAGAAGCCAAACACAAGAAGTGCATTTCTCAGGGCGCCCGGCTGGCTCAGTAAGGAACAGCCAGTGACTCCTGACCTTGGGGCTGTGAGTTCGAGCCCCGTGTTGGGTGTAGAGATTATAGAAACAAAAATAACCTTACAAAAACTAAGCGTATTTCTTAAGAGGAAGGAGGGCGATGGTTCCGAGCACCCATCAGGAAGCTGCACCAGGAAGTCGGGAAGGGAAAGTACCGGCCACCTGTCTGGGGCAGGGACAGGCGTGCCACACAGCAGAGCAGGAGGGGAAAGTCTGAATCGCCACGAATAGTCTCAACCTAACAAACACAGAATTCACCGAATGGAGTATACACATTCTTTCCAAATAAATCCAAAACTTGTAAAAACTGACGAAGAGGTCACGATGGAAGTCTCAACCAACTTTCAAAAATGGTTTCTTTGTACAGACCATCTTCATTGATGACAACGTAATACGAAAACGTGAAAAACAGGGGCGCCTGGGTGGCTCAGTTGGTTGAGCATTTGACTCTTGGTTTCGGCTGAGGTCACGATCTCACGTTTTGTGGGTTCAAGCCCTGAGTCAGGCTCTGCGCTGGTAGCATGGAGTCTGCTTGGGATTCTCTGTCTCCTTCTCTCTCTGCACCACCCCCACTCTGCCTCTCTCAAAATAAAGAAAACTTATAAAAAATTTTAAAAAATAAGATAAAATAAAATACAAAGTAGCCAGAGACCTCTGCTTTAAAAACAGAAAAAGTCGGGGCTCCTGGGTGGCGCAGTCGGTTAAGCGTCCGACTTCAGCCAGGTCACGATCTCGCGGTCCGTGAGTTCGAGCCCCGCGTCGGGCTCTGGGCTGATGGCTCAGAGCCTGGAGCCTGTTTCCGATTCTGTGTCTCCCTCTCTCTCTGCCCCTCCCCTGTTCATGCTCTGTCTCTCTCTGTCCCAAAAATAAATAAACGTTGGAAAAAAAAATTAAAAAAAAAAATAAAAAAAATAAATGAATAAAAACAGAAAAAGTAAAAAGCCAAATGCTTTTACCTCAGTGTGACAGAAAAAAATAAAACCTTAAAAAAACGACAGAATAGGTAACACTTTGAAATAACGGACATAAAAGCAAATTATGATAGAAGAAAACATGATCAGGTGCCTGGGTGACTCAGTCGGTTGTGTCTGACTTTGGCTCAGGTCATGATCTTGCGGTTCGTGAGTTAGGGTCCCGAACTGGGTGAGCCCCGCTTCTCTCTTGCGCCCCCCCCTTTCTCAAAAAAGAAAAAAACGAGAAAATACTACCACTGACTCTGCCCGCCCCCCCAAATGCCGACAGAGCAGCAAGAGCAGAATCTGGGACACCCAAGGCTCGCGGAGACTCAGGCGCAGGCACCCAGGTTCAGAGTGACAAAGGAGCAGAGGGGGGACAGAGCTGCAACGGGGCCACCAGGGCCCACCCACCAGGCCAGGTGACTGTCCTCGCCTTCAGAGCCAAAGAGGGGGTATGTTCCTGTCTGGAAGGTTGAAGGAGGGGTCTGTGTGCAGGGGGGAGGGGACACCAGTCAATAGGGGACCGGGGGATGCTGCGCACCAACTGGGGAGACCGTCAGCCTGTCAGCCGTCACCCCCAGGGCCACGGACTAACTCAGGGTGCCCGTCACTGGTGAAACAGGAACCAACCGGTCAGAGGCTGGCGGACGTGGGGGCAGGAATTCCCGAAGCACCAAGTGCTGGTGCTGCCGGGAGAGTGGGCAGTGGTGGGGGGGGGAGGGGGCGGGAGGTGCAGAGGGAGGGGCCGCCCGAGGCTGGGCTGAGATTCCCGGTCCTCTCTCTCGACAGCTCCTCATAACCAGTGGGGAAGCTGCAGAAGAGAACGGGCAAATCCAGGCAAATCCAGAGGTTACCCCTGAGCCGGACAACAGTTTTGTACGGAAGTTCCATTTCCTGAGTCTGAGCACCGTATCCCGGTTCCGTAAGACGAGGCTTTTGTTCTTCAGAAATACACAAGTCCTGAGGTATCTACGAGTCGTTATTAAACGGTTCGGGAAAGTATATAATGAGAGACGAAGCATGACAGAGCGAATGGGCTATGACGTTAGCAACTGGTGACTCTGAGTGAGGCTGGTGGGCACCCGCCGAGTTCGGTACAAATCTTGGAAGTTTTCTCGAAGTTTGAAATTCTATCGAAATTCCCCATATAAAGTGAGTCATCTAAATTCAGAGTTCTACAGACACCCGACCTCATCTCCCCCAAACCTCAACGTCATCGTAAGCAAACGTGAGGTGGGGCAGAGTGGTTGCAGCTTAAGGAGACTCAAAGCGTAATTAAACGCAATACAGAATCCACGGGTGGGTGCGGGTTTGGAGGAAAAAAGAAAAACCGCTACGAAAGTCATTTGAAACATTCCGGGGAAAGGCCAATATGGACCATTAGATGACAGCATGGTGACAACCTCGTGAGGCACAGTAATGGCACGGGGGGTGCACGGGAGAATTTTCCAGGAGACGCGTCCAGAAATATCTAGAGGTGAGGAGACACGACGCCTGGAAGCGTCTCTGAAACTGCGCGGCCGACACGCGAGTGTGTGATGTAAACACGGTAAACGCTGACCCTGGGTGACGGGTGCGGAGGTGTTCGTTGTACCGCGTGTATGTTCGTTAGAAAAACAACACAAACTGGCCTGGAACCAACACAACACTGTACGGTAACTACGCCGGAAGTGAAATAAATTTACGTAGAAACGAGAAAGGGCGCCGAGGGAACCAGGTGTCTGCTGACGGAGCCCCAGACTCATCTCCCCGTCGCCCTCTGGACGGGGCTCGGTGCCTCCTGGGCGCTGAAAGCCTTGCACGTCTGCACCAGATGCCGGAGGCCGCCCCGGCCGCCCCGGCCAGAGCACCCTCATCTGGCCACACAAACCAGAGCCCCCCCGCCCCCACCGGCCCATGGCGGGCCCCACGCGAAACGTCGATCAGATGGCGCCCGTGGGGACGGGCACAGGAGACCCCCCCGAGACAGAGCCAGGCGCCTTGGCGGGGGCTCGGGCGCCACAGCCGCCCGGCGAGACCAGCCTCGGCGAGGCAGGCCTTGGTGCCCCCCCCCTCCCCCCCCGGCCACTGCCTGCCGGAGCCAGAAACCGCCCCAAACCCTGACTCCCCCTCCTCTCCAGCACACTGCCGCCCCAAACGACCCACCCCGATCTCCCCCTAAAACCTAAGAGAGCGGGCCTTCCCTGTGTTCCCCGCAGCTTGCGTGTCCTGCATGGCGGTTCCTCGTTCCCCAGAGACTCACTTTGCCAGTAAAACCACCGGCTGTTTTGTTTTTAAGGCTGACATGCCACTGCTGCCTACGACCCTCCAGACCCCCCGCCGCCCCTGCTGCAGGCAGGGCCCACAGAGCAGCTCTCCTCGTGACAGGACCGACACGCCCCTGCATCGTCCGCTCGGCCAGCAGGCTCTTGGTCTCATTCGAAGGGTGACCCCCCGGCATCCTGAACAAGCCTGGGTGCAGGGACCTGCGGAACGAAACGTGTACTAAAACAACTCGGGAAAATCACTTAAGACTCTCATGTATTTTACCTGTCAGAACAGAATTAGGTGAAAAAGGGAGACCGGTTACTGAGGAAACAAGCCATAGACCCTGCTTGGCGAGCTGTGTGCTAACCCAACAAAGTGCTCCCCGACGTCCCTGCAGCCCCTTTCCTGACCGGCCCTGGAATCTGACCCAGAAGCAAGCCACACATTCAACGTAACTAAGTGCAGAAACACCAGGAAGCATAATGTATATGAAATGTGAAATATAACACCTGTAAGTTTTAACCTATTGAATCTTTGGGTATAGACAGACAGTTAACGAATTTTTATCGTTGTTGTAAGCACCTTCAATACGTTTGAATAAATTACATGAATAATTCATTACTAACAGGTACCCAGAGGCAAACATTAAAATCATTTTCAAAAATGTAAAAGCTTGGGGCGCATGGGTGGCGCAGCAGGCTAAATGTCTGACTCTTGATTTTGGCTCAGGCCACGACCTTGTGCTTCATGAGATCGAGCCCCACATCAGGCTCTGCACTGACTGTGGAGCCTGCTTGGGATTCTCCTGTCCTCTCTCTCTCTCTCTCTCTCTCTCTCTGTCTCCCTGTCTCCCTCCCTCCCTAGCTTGTAAATGTGCGTGCGCTCTCTAAATAAATATCAATTTTTAAACACACATATATACACATATGTATATATGAACGTACGTAAGCTTTTTCCAAAAACGACACACAAGTGGCCAACAGACACGTGAGGCCCGACATCACTCCTCATCAGGGAAAATACAGATCAAAACGACACTGAGATACCACCACCTCACACCTGTCCGAGCGGCTAAGATTCACAACTCAGGAAACAACAGGTGCTGGTGAGGATGCGGAGAAAGAGGAACCCTTTTGCACTGCAAACCGGTGTAGCCGCTCTGGAAAACAGTGTGGAGGTTCCTCAAGAAGTTAAAAATAGAAGTACCCTACGACCCAGCCATCACACTACCCTGTGTTTGCCCAAAGGCTACAAGACTGCTGATTCGAAGAGGCAAATTCACCCCAATGTTTATAGCAACACTATCAACAATAGCCAAACTATGGAAAGAGCCCAAACGTCCATTGACTGACGAATGGATAAAGATGTGGTGGATACATATACACACACACACATACACACACAATGGAGTAGTACTCAGCCATCAAAGAGAGTAAGATCTTGCCACTGGCAACAACGTGGATAGAACTAAAGTATGATACTGAGTGAAACATGTCATTCAGAGAAAAACAAATACTGTATGAGATCACTCATCTGTGGAATTTAAGAAACAAAACAAATGGGCAAAGGAATAAAGAGACAAACCAAGAACCAGACTCTCAACTACAGAGATCACATCACACCGACGGTCGCCAGAGGGGAGGGGGGTCGGAGGACAGGGGAAATAAGTGACGGGGACGAAGGAGCGCACCTGTCGTGATGAGCACCGGGGGACGTGTGGGAGTGCCGAATCCCTACGTTGTACACCTGAAACTGATATCACGCTGTGTGTTCGCTAACTGGAATTAAATAATAAAAAAAAATACATAAAAGCTTTATTTCATCAAAGTTAACAGTCTATCTCCAACACATAATGTCAAAGAGTAAGCGCATTATAAACAACTGTAAGTGACCCAGTTAGAAGAAACGGGACATAAACGCTGCTCTACAACGCAGCCAACGTACAACGGAAGGACGGAGCCTTGCCGTGCGGAGACACAAGGGAAACGGAAAACTGCCTGCGGTTCCCGGCCCTTCCAGGATCTAGACACGAGAGGCTCTTTCTAAAAGGCTCCCACGTTTCTGCGCCAACCTCAGCTCAGCGCCTAACGGATGCTGAGCCCACAGCAGCAACCACACGACGGCTTCGACAAGGAGCAGGGCCGGGGCGCTGGGCTTGCTTCGCCGAGGCCTCGCCACCACTCCCCCTGACCACCGGCATTCTGAGGCCAGTACCTGCGGCCGAGGTCCCCCCGAGGCAGAGCACTGAAGCCAAAGCCGCGAACACCTCCGTTCTTCCATCTGAACCACCAGGGAAGGGGCGGCTGGACTCCCATTCACACCATGCGTTCGGTCCTACCTGGAGCCATGCTCGCTCGCTACGATTGCCCCTGGGACTGAACAGACAGGGTCAAGGCAGCGCTGGCTGCAACAAGGAGCCAGATGCTTGGGCTCCAAAGCCCCCAAGTGGCCCCCAGTCACGCAGCCCACTGAAGAGTCTCGCTTCTCCGCCTTCTGAGCGCATGTGAATTCCAGACCGTTTAACACGTATCTGTGTCTCTCTCTCCCTTAACTATTCTTGCTTCATCCCATCACAAAGTTTTCAGAGGTAACAAAAGACCACATCTCCCAGGTCTCTGATACCCCTTCAAGCCCCATACGATCCTCTGCACACAGCAGGCGCTCGATCTATGATCCGACAACCGATACTCAGTCACTTACACCGTGCATGTCAGTGAACGGACCCCGGCCGTGCTGCTTATTTCGATACACGAAGAGCTACATCATTAATGAGCGGAGCTCTGTGCTCAGTGAACTCAGTACCTGACCCTGGATTCCAGCAAGAACAACACTCCAGGATTTCTCAGGGAAAAAAGGGTAAGTAAGCTCTCTGGTAAGTTTATAAAATTCTAAAAATCTACCTGCTCCGAACACTGACCTTCTTAAGAGAATCTCCGTGTCTCTCCTGAATGTACTTCAGGAACGCTGTGGTCCACTGGAGCGTGGTTGCCTTATCGGTCTCGGCATTGCAGAACGGGACTAGAAGATTCAACTCATCGCAACAAATGCGGATTCTGCGCCTACGGTCAAAATCCAAAGTGATCACCCAGAGGAGCAGAAGCAACACCAAGCAGTAAGGCAAATGTCTGAATGTGTCGCTTGTGGCCCGGCCACCAAGTGCGTGCTCAGGACCACGCTCCGCCACAACCATGTGGCCCTCCTCCACAAGGCCGACCTGCTGCAGGGGTCTCCACGGACTTCTCATGGGTCAGGAGCAAGGGCCAGTTTCCAGTCTCCAGACCAAGCATGGACCCAAGCCCCGGAAACGCGAAGCAAAATTTTGTGGGGGGGTTTTCTGGGTGGACAGCTCTCCTTGGGCCAAGGAGCTCACCCACAGCTCAGGGTTGCAGCTATGATCGGCAAGGGACCCCGGGTCAAAAGGATCACACACGACCAGTCTGTTAATGCCCCGAATCCCAGTCATTTGAGAGATCATTCATTTTTTAGAGATCGTTTACATCCCAAGTGGTCTCATGATTTACACCATTTTTTAGCTCTTCCCGATTACCAGCTTATACAACCCTTGTTGCCCATCTTCCCAAGCATACACTCAGAATCTGTCGTAGCGATCTCATGAGGTCAGTGTGACAGCTGGCATTTACGAGATGCTAACTTCTACACAGAGGCAGACACGTGTGACGTACACACGTGTTTCATCCTGTCTCCAATCCGTGTGGTAGCCAGCTCTGCTTTGTAGATAAGAAACTCAGATGAGAGGTGATCCCTCTGCAGGCTGTTAAACTATGAAAAGGCACAGTAAAAATCTAAGTTCCCGCTGTCAGCATACGGTAGAAGGGTTTTCACATAGTAGGTGTTAAATAAATGTTTATGTGATAAATATCAGAGTAGGAAAAATGTCCTTTCTGGTTCACAAGTCCTTGCTGACACAGCGCTTCAAGTAGAGTGTGTGAGTGTGTGTGTGCCAGTGGGTGTGAGCGCACCTGTGTAAGAAGGAGATCTAGCTGGCCAGCTAGCTCTAATATATCCTTTTAAAAGGAAAGAAGTCGCCTTGGGTCAACATTCGCCCTTCGTAGCTGAACGTCTGCCTTGCCGCATGCTATAAAAAGGAAACTGGTACAAGGTTCTCAATGAATGACTATGTTAATTATGTTAGGGAAACATCAGGTAAAAATCCAACTGTAATAGAGAAAAACTAGCCACCTTTTGATTCTACATAAAATTGCAGATTCAGGGCGCCTAGGTGGCTCAGTCACTTAAGCATCTGACTTCAGCTCAGGTCATGATCTCATGGTTCGTGGGTTTGAGCCCCGCATCGGGCTCTGTGCTGACAGCTCGGAGCCTGGAATCTGCTTCGGATTCTGTGTCTCCCTCTTTCTGCCCCTCCCCTGCTCATGCTCTGTCAATCTCTCTCTCTCTCAAAAATAAATATTCAAAAAAATATTGCAGATTCTAAATAAAACCTGCAGATAAAACGACAGTTCTAACCCCTTTCTTTCCCAACATTCTTAAAAGAACCAGGCAAAGCTAAGTGCCCCATTGTGCACCCTGGCCATCTCCCAGCAGCCTACTCACAAGGTGGGCCCCTGATGGCATCTGGACACTCAGATTCCAGGGGTTCCCAGCACCATTAGTTAGGAGGGGCTCTCTGCACCCACAACATGTGCGTAAACATGGTTTATGCTGTGCACCGGCTCTTCTCCTGGGGTCCTGGGATTGGCTGCTTGCCAGGTAGGAATGCCTCCATGACATGCCCGCCAAGAAAATCTCGGGGCCCTGAGTCCCTCAGGAGCTTTCCCAGCTGGCCACAGCTGGTGCTGGGGTTGCTGAGTGCATCTGGGAGTCCCCTGGGAGGGGACACCTGGGAGCCTCCACCTAGCTCACTGGACGCCCATCCCCCACCCAGCACCTTTGGTAATTTTGCGGGTTCCTTTCTCTGTAATAAATCAAAGCCCTAAGTCCTAAAGAACCATCAAACCTGGGGGGTGGTCCTGGGGACCCCGATCCCCCCTAGCAAAACAAAGTCAATATTCACTCTGGCAAACCTCTTTCCACTTTGAACACATTATGAATCAACTAAACCGCTGTCTCATCAATAACTTGCCTATTACTGCTAATAACTGGAATAAACTTGCGTGTTGATGAACGACCACACGAGTTACCTTCTATCTCTTTCCATGCGGTTATGCCTCTCCCTGCGCTGCGACCTTCCTCCCTGCGGCCCGCTCTGGCTCTGCTCCCCGAGGTTTGCCTGCGAGGACTCCGCGGGTGGCCAAGCGCCCTGTGCGGCGGTGGAAGCTTCACCCACGTTCTGAATCTCTCCAAGGGCTCTTCGCTCTACGTTTGTGTCCAGCTGACGAATTCTACTCCGATTCCTCTTATTTATTGCTTGCTTACATAGCGCTTCTTCTTTGCAAAAGAAGAAAAAAGTGTATTTTAATTTTTTATTTTACTTAACTTCTTCCCATTAGCGCTGAGTACCTTTGGTGCCATTTTCAACTCCAGACACACATTCACGAGCAAGGGACACACAGGACTCAACAGGAAAAGCTGCACCTACTCCAGGAACTTGTACACTGAGCTCCAAGGTTCAAACCACAAACCTGAACATAAATCTGTAACCAAACGAGAACACTCCGAGTATTATGTAATCGATACAACCTTGTCAAAAGTCCCCTGTTAATCAGATGTTAACTACCACCTATCAACGGAGAAACCAAGAAGTTACTGAACTTCTCTGACGTTCAGAATGAAAAAAGATTTTTTTTCTCCAAAAGATTTTCTTTTATGCGATTATTCTAACGTGAGAGCGGATACTCTAACCGCAGTGCCCAGAAGACAAAACGTAGGTGGCCTATGGTTAAATGTGCCCTCACCTCACAAGTGATTCTGCCCACACGAGGAGGGACCACCTCCTAGCTTTGACTTCTGCTGGAGGAACGCGGCAAATTTCATCACACGCAGAGCGGGAGGCCCCCAGCTAACACGTGCGGGGTGTGCGTTCCCAGGATGCCAAACAAAAGCCAAATAAATCTGTGGCACAGGAGTCACCACCACATCTTTCAGAGCGGGGGACCCGGTGGGGAGCTCAGTGCTGGGAACGCTTTGTTCCTGAAGCTGAGAACTTAGCACACGGTCTGACTAGCAACCTTTAACTCTGCAAACGGTAACACGCGCTTCTGCACGGAGACGCCGAATCACGAGAACTGCCCGCTGCCTCGGTGGCTCTGTCGCTCCTGCCCTCGCCGGCTCTGGAAAACCTTGGGGTTATCTCGTCCAGTGAGTCAAAAAATAGTTGGCTCCCAGGGAGAAAGGGATTGCGAGCTCACTCTCAAGATGAGCAAGGTTTGCCTTCAGCAGTTTATTTCTAAACCCTTCTGAATCACCTTATGGCCTCTTGTTCCCAACTCAATCCTCTGCTCATCTGCAGATTGTCTCCTAAAGCTTTTATCAGGTTTCAGACTCCTGGCTCACTCGTGAAATATAAAATAAGAAAAAAACAAAAACAACACTATTAAATGCTTTCAGCAACTTGCAGGAAACGTCATTCTTCCGTTCACGGAGATCACTAGCAAGAAAGAGGAGCCTCCAAACTCACTGTTTCCACACTAAGTATAAATATGTTTGGAATTCGAAAGAAAGTTCAAAGTGAAGAAAAGTCCCCCATGTGGAAGTACACTTCCAAGACCATCTCATGTTTACAAACCTCCTCCCCCCCCGCCCCCACCCCCCCGTTCCCCTCCCTTCCCCCCCACCAGAATGACATCAGGGCAGCGCCCGCTCCCCTTTGTGGCTTACCTCCTACTTTAATCCAAACCTGCTCAGGCAAAGCTTTGTTTCTACCGCCCAAAGTCTGTTTAGTGGATTCAACTTCCTGCTGGTAACAGAAAGAAAATGCTCTAGGCAATCCAAAATCCTGATGCTTGGCAGCTTCGAGTATAGAACATGGGTTACTAGAGCTCTGGAAAAACGAAGCCACAGGAACTTTATCAGCATGAGACCCAGTCGGTCCCCTCAATTCCACACAAAGCACATGCACTTCCACAGAAATCACGTCAAAGACATCACGCGCTACACGGAGGATTTTAAGACATTCCCCGACCGCATAAACACTCTCGATGTTAAGGATTATTAAGCTCGGCGAAAGAGAAATCCTTCAGATCGAATGAACTCAACTCAAATCCATTTGCTACAAAACAAAAGAGCAAAGCGGGACCAACTGTCCCCTTACCTGCACCTGTGACGGGTTCGAGCTGGCGCTGGCCGAACAGGCGTTGGCCGTGAACACGGGGTACGTGAACTGCAGGGCCGTGGCCGCAGTGGCAGTTTTATTTTTCACTAACGTCGTGCATTTGTTTTGTTGCTGATGAAGAGGGACGTTCATTAATTCGGAAGGATGTCGGATAAGAGTGACCAAACTGCCGAGACAAAAAAAAACCGTGTGAAGAGTGTGTTGCGGGAAATGTCCCGAAGCGGTACAATCGCCTTTTCTAGAACGCGCAAGTCTGTTAGGGTGAACGAATGCCCCTCATCACGGAAACCTCTGGCGAACAATCACCGACTGGTGCTGCGGCGCACAAGCTCAAGCTTCTTCCTCACGGAGGATCGGGAGGCTGTGTGTCACTGACAATCTCTCTTGCTCTGTTTTTTTGGCCATTCTCCAAACTCTGATGACTGAGGGCGAAGTGGGGACCGCCACTGGCTAGGGACGGACAGAAAGCCGAGGAGCCGCCGCAGCACACGGGCCGCTCCTCTCCCGGAGTCGCCCCTGGGGCAGGACTGACGGGCTGGCTGCAGGAAAAGCCTCAGGGTCAAAGGCTCAGGACAAGACGCTTTCCTTCCACAAAGCTGCGTCCGTGAGCGCAGTGAAGACACCGCTAACCTAGGTCAACATGGGGGAAACACACCTCTCCTGACACGCAGGCGGGTAATTCGGTGCTCAGAAGCATTGGCACACCGATCTCAACTGGAACTTAGCCCTTCCGCGTGCAGACACTACTGACCACAGAAGCCCACGCTCTGGGGTGTGTACTCAGTATTCCCAAGTGCTTGCTCACCGGCACCTGCACAGGGCACAGAACCTTGCAAGTCGGCCTCAGGCCCGCGGAAGCCGGCCCCCTGTTACGATGCCAGCCGGGAGGAGGCTGGGGGCTTTCTAGCGGCTGACTTCACCTGCGCCCTGACCCAGCTGGGCCCAATCCCTACTAAAACGCAAGCTGCGGTGGCGCTGGCTTTGCACCAGATCACCTGGTCTCTACCCAGACCCGGCCACGCAGATACCAGTCACAGCCAGGCTGGCGGCCTCCTCACCAGGGGTCCGCATGTGCACCCAGACTGACTTTGGCCTCTGCACGGGACCTTCCGGTCCGCACCCCGACGGAGGCTGGCGGCCTCCTGTGCGCGCAGACCCGGCGCGGCCCGCCCCCCGCGCCCTCCCCGCGCCCGGCCGCCCCGGGGTGGACACCCACTTGTTGAGCGCCACGCCGGGCTCGGGGGGCTCGGCGCCGCGCGGGGCGGAAGGCGGCTCAGCGGGGATGCTGTTGAAGCGGTCCTCCAGGCGGACGCGCACGGCCGACTTGGCCCGCGCCTCGGGAGCGC